AACACAATGTTTCTATGTGACTATAATGAATTAAAACAGATCTTGATAAAGACATTTTAACCCAGTGTTAGGTGCAGAGTGAAGGATTTGTGTGTGTGTGTCTCCCTCTCCACCTCTCTCCTACAGGTGATTATTGGAAGATTGGCAACACCTGTGGATTTCCTGCCACTGCCACCTGTGAGCTCCTGAGGAGTGGATGATTGGCTCGTGCTCTGGCCGGTTGTCCAATCGGTGTGGAGAATACTCCTATATAAGCCCTCATGCTCCTTTATTCACTCTCTGCTTTTTGTCTGCTGTCCTTTTGCATATTGAAGGTTTGTGGTAGGAAGGTGTTCAGCTGAGGTAGGACTGGGTGCCCTACACATGTAGTTCTCTTTATGCTACATGCACTAGGTTATGGGTTGTTGCCACTATGTAAGTTTTGTGTTCCTATCACTATTAAGACAGCCAGGCCTTTTGTTTTTATTTTATTTTCCTTCAGAAAGATTTGAGTTAGGCCCTGTTTTGTTATATTTATTTCTTTGATTTGGCACAACCCCGCAGCTGACCCTTCCCCCACACCTTTCTGACACCTTCATTTTGTTCATTTAATTTATTTATTCCTTGTAAATAAATAACTTGTTCTTCACTGCCATCCACTCTGCTTGTGAGTTCTTCCATATTGACAGTTGGAGTTACGTACTGTAAGCAGGAACGCAACACCCAATAACAATACTATAGAACTCTTGCAGTTGGGATACTATTGGAGTGGTTTTATCATCATACCTGGTCAATGACTGTCCTAATATTGGCCATAAATGCAAGAAAAAAAAATTCTCTTAAAATGTGTCCCTGACTGGCACTATACTCTATATTTTTAAAGCTCCTATTGTTGCCAAGTAATGGAAAAAAGTAAAATAAAAATCTGCCTCTTAGGGTGAAAAATAAAGGCTTTATGGTTTGTGGAATATCGGCGTAGACAGAAACGTGGACATGTTTTGACACCATCATATAAGTGGTTTCTAATATTCCATCAAAGCAGGTGGCACCATTGACGACCACATGTACATATCAATGAGCCTGCAAAATGTCAGGACTCCAGCTACATTATTTCTCTAGTTATGGCACTTCAAACATTGATCCACAGACTGGTGTGCAGAGAATTCTTAAGAATCGACATGAGCCCACCTTCTTTGAGAATTTTAAACTCAAAAACCAACATTACCTTTGACCCCAGATTTCACTCAATCAATAGTCACCGCTTTACAAAAAAACATTTAAGAAATGAGTCCGATTGAAGATGGTCAGGCGTGGGGCATTCAGTGAATTGAAGCGGAATGACCCTTGTTTGAAAAAAAAAAAAAAAAAAGATTATCACATCTTGCTCGTCTCTACAACGCCCAGCTTTCACTCGTCCTTGTTTCAGGTCACCTGTGTGGTACCTGTGACCCTTTCTTCCATCACAGCTCTTTTCTTGCATAGTGTGACCGGACTCCGGTGCAAAACCTCCTCTAACAACTGCACCTTTTACCACCACCCTTGTGTGTTTTCAAGTGAGTGTTTTCCTCAGTCTGGACTGCGGCGGGAACGTCTTCCCTTCTCTTCTGTTGCATTATTAAAGCATTGAGCTGTGCAGGATTAAGGTCACATCGTTTTTTTAATTATTGATAGAAACTAGTCTGAGACAGAACCTGAGGTCAGAAAATGGCAAAAAAAACAAGCAGAGAACTGTTGTATAGCATGCGTGTCTTCTTACCTGGAGGTGTTTCACTATGTTGACCACCTCTCGGGTGGAGTAGGGGTAGGTGATGGTGCCCTGGTCGGCCATCGAGCGCAGCTCTCCGAAGGCAGCCACCAGTTTCTGCAGGGTGCTGTCGGGAACATCGGGGCCGTACTGTTTCAGCATCTCCAGCTCGGCCTCAGGCTTTGGATTGTCCACAGCATGGCAGCTAAAAATATCACCTGTTACAACAAAACGTGACAAAATGTACTGTTTTACTCTTTGTATACAATATTCAGCATATCTAGTGCTGTAGTTTGCACCATAAAAACAAGAAGAGTAGGAAAGTTACTCAGGGGACAACTGTTGAACCTTCCTGACAGTGATAGTTTCTCACTTTCTTATAGCTTATCTCCAGAAATATAGGACAAGATAAGATAAAACTTTATTAATCCTGAAGGAATTCTTGTGCCAGATATTGCTCAGAAAAAACAAATGATATAACATAAGAAATGCAGTGCTTAAAAAAGTAGAAAAGTACGATAGAAAACTGAAATAAAACAAGAAACTACAATTAAGCTAGAATAAAACAGTATAAACTATGCTGGCAATTACAGATAATAAATAATATCACACATGACAATGAAATATTGCACCTAAAATGACATGAAAATGAAATATTGCACATGTAATCAGCTTTCTTTGTTCTATGGCTCAACAAAACTATAACCCCAGTCAGAGATAATATTGTTCATAATGGTGGTTAGCAGCTCTCCTTCGGCACCACCTGGACCAATGGCACACCACCTACTTTACAACTGGTTGATATAATGGAAAGCGATAAGGAAATATAAACATTTATTACAATAAAAAGCACTGCGACTGCAAATGATACGAGGGAGGAATGCTGGTACAAAACTGTTAATTGAATAAGTTAAAATACTTATTGTAGTGCACTGATGTGACATCTGCACATTAGAACTCCAATATGTTCAACGTCATTTGAACATGACATTAAAGAATTGTATTTAGGTCAGACATTTACTTTTTGACCAAAGGTACTAATACTAAAACCAACACATTTATGTTTTGTTTTTTTTTTTGCATAAATCTACGCTTCATACAGTTGATTTACACCACAAACTCTGAACAGAACCTCCTCCTGAGCAGGTCAGCTGTGCAGCATCAGCCACCTTCACAACATTAACAACTTTATGCTCAGCATAGCTGCGCCCCTCTGGTTTCATGTTGTTGTGCATGTGTGTTTGCGTACCTAGAGCTCCAAAAAAGTCATTTCCCAGGAAGGGAAAACCAGGCCGGTTAGCCAGGACGAGCATCCTGAAGTCTGGGTGCATGATGATGGCGTTTGGCCTCCCTTTGGCTTCTCGTGGATCTATGGAGAAGACACGCTTCACGTCAAAACACGACCAAAACAAGCACTGTATCTACCCTCGTCACTGATTTTCTCACACACCTCTGCTGTCCCGACAGCATTGTTCTGCTTCAAGTTTGTGTTTATGGAGTCTTGAGGTTGCGTTTACATTCCCGTGGGAGGACGAGCCTCTCAAGAGTGTGATTAGATGGAAAAACCGCATGTTTACAGTCCATCATGACCAAAAATCTACTGGTATCTGTCCATAAAGGCTTTTATCTTAAGCCTCCTTCAGTGGCCTGCGTCGGATGTTTTACTCCTGTCTGCTTTCGAGGACATCAAATCCTCAACTCGTCCTTTTAAAGCTCCTATTTCTGTATCTGGGACATGTCTGCTGTCGAGGCGTTAAACCCTCGCTGGTGTGTTTGTACCTGAGATGATTCTACGTCCGTCGGCCAGGATCATCTCTCCGCTCTCCACCAGGGTTTTCAGGATGCAGGTGACATTTGTGGGAGCTTTGTCGGCCTCGTCGATCACTAAAATGTGACCGTGCTTCACTGCTTTCACCTGAACACACAAATCATGGGTGTTAAGACACACTACAGACGTCGTTATTGAACCTTTGGTCTGGTTGGTGTTTGTTATGCGTCACTATAGCTGACAGAGAAAAAACTTTGTGAATAAACTCCACTTCTATCAAACTGATTTCTTCTCTTTAAATCATTCACCATCCACCCTCACACGCTGGTTTTTTGGACTTATTTCGACTAATTAGCCCTCATTTCAGGACTGTGTAGGTGTGTACCACGACTGTATTAAAAGAAATGGACACTGTGTGCTGAGACGGAGCCCAATTCATGTCTATGAAAGTTGCTTATTGGCACATGAGCTGAAAACTGTTTGGTGTTTGTTGGCCAGTGTGCATCATGCAGGATTGAATTTGCTAAAATAGTTTCCCAAAGTCACGCTTTTTGGACTTTGGTATGTTCAGACTGTCCCTGTTGCACCTGTGGGGAAAATTAAAGACTTTTCATTCTTATTGGTTCTCTGATTTTGTAATTCTCCACAAAACCAAATTTCAAACTAAGCAGCAAAAAACACCCACATTTTCTCTAACTCGTGCTTCTTTTTGCTTTTTTCCATGTGAAAGCTGTCCTTTGTAGTACGCAAGACTTGAAATGCTACTTTTCTTGTCTTTAATATGTCCATTTGCAAAAATAAGTCCTTGAACGTGCCACGATACCACAAATTTATGAGGCACAAATGTTGACATAACTGCAGGACTGGTGTTGGTGACTGACAGGAAAAGCTGCAAGTTTATGAGTTTCATACTATTTTTTCTGCCTTTACAGTGGTGATTCTGTTACAACAGACATGAGAGTAAATAATCAAGAAAGATTGTGTGTTTCTAACTGACCAGTGGTGAGTCTTCGTACGTAATGATGCCGTCTCTCACTGATGGTTGCAGGGTCAGAGTCTGCACCGTCGTATCCCTGAGTAATGAAAAAAAACAGGGTTACACACAAATACGCACAACAGGAGCAAACACTGTAGATGCACAAACTTCTAATTTTTCATTTGCTGTCATTTATTAAATCAAAAGAGGCGCTGGTTTTGAGTTCTGAGTAAAACCAACAATCCCATTTTCACCAGTTTATTTTTTTCAATTTTAAAATCTTATTAACATTTTGAAAGTCCAACATAAGCTGGCTGAAAGGTTTTTGTTGACCTCCAACTGCGGATCTGTTTGTTTTTGATCAGCAGAGATGCAGGACATGGGAAAAGGTGGACCTAATGCTGTATGTATGTGTACACTGTAAACAGTTTTTAAATATTTTTTTTAACAATTAACTGTTATTTTACAGATTTTCTGTTTTGATAAATAATAGACAATGAATAAAATCACAGACAAGGCATTATGCATGTTAAATATGCAAAATTAGTAAATAGTATTTTGATCTTTTACAATGACTGACCTGCAATCACAGAAAGTTTATCATTCCTTATTGCTATGGAACAACCTCGTGGAACAACTGCTTTGCATTTCACTGCACACGCTGTATTAGAATGTGATAAATACAACTGTTAACATATTTATACTAAGAATTAACAATGCTAAATATTTTTTTTAACATTTATTTATATTTTCTTGACTGTTATTTTCCAGACTTTAACTTGCCAAAACTTACTTCTCAACAACGAAAATCATGGTTAAAAAAAAAATCTCAGGCAGAAGGTGTTTGGTCTGGACTCAGTACTTCGAAATGAAATCATATCAACAGGGTTTTAAAGATTTAGTTTCTGTAGCTCAGGTCTGAACTGGAACCCGGACTATGCATTCCCACCCAGACCCACAATGAATACTGATGTCAGGAGGTTTGTGTTGCTGAAGGACTCTTTTATGTTTTTTTTTTTTCTTCTGAGTTTCAAACACCTTTTTTCTTATTTCATTTGGGTGTTCCAGCTCTTAGGGAGACCCAAATTGAGCACAGGTATGGCAGGAAACATTTTTTTGATATTTAAATAACCAAACATACCTCATCTTTTTAAAATATCCAGAAATAAAAATATATTATTTTTGTGCAGTCAAAGGGAGTCATGCACCTTTTTTTTTTCAAACAGGGTGTTTTAAAAAAAATAAATAAATAAAATAATTGTTCATAAACTGTTTTTCTTTGTTTTTAAGTTTTTGGTTTATTTTTTTGAAATGTAAAAAATATAAAAGTAAAAAGCATGATTTTATGTTAACTGAAGTAAAAATTAAAAATCACTATTTTACAATGTGTAATTTTACGGTGTGGAACTTTACAAATGCTTTTTACCATAATTTTCACAACTTAAAGATATTTTTTTTTTGCTGCCAGATTTTCACTGTTATTCATTAGATTTCTTTTCCTGGTCATGCAGGATATTGTCATCTTAAGTGCTTTACAAAAGAGGCAGCTGGACGTCTTGGGTTCAACAGGTCAACAACATAAACACAACACTGAAGCATTTCTGCAACAACTTTGACTCCCTCGCGGCGTCCAAATTTATCGCCTTTTTCTCTCCTCGATGCCTCTCAGTGTGACCCAGGAGCTGCCCTACTTTCCTTCCCGCCTGGCTGCGTCTCTCTTTTGCTTTTCTGAGCCACATCTCTGTAGGTTTTCAGTCACGGGCTCCCAGAAGCCGCATGCACAGATCTTCCTGCCGCTGCCCTGCTCTAATATTAGCAGCTGCTACAGTCGCTAACCAGGACACATCCAAAAAACTCCACTTCGACTTTCACAAGACTTTGACTGCTCCACGGGCCAAGAAGACTGTGAACGCATCGCTCCATATATTCAGTGAGAATTTGTCACTGATGTGGAATCTTTTTTTCTAATACTTTCATGTTCTTCACGCTTGTAGAACCGATTCTGTTTATCGCTCGTCTCCCAAACCACTTTTTATCGAGATCAAAACGAGGCCGATTCTTTGCCTCCTAAAGCTGCATTCAAGAACAAGGCTGATTTCACACAACACATTGATCTATGGATGAGCTGCCCTGACCCAATTTCCCTCCAAGAAGTGATCGTGTGAGTATTTATAGAAGCAGAGAGTTAACAAGGACTTCTTGAAATGGTTTTTCCTTTAATATGGACATGTGAAGTCCTTGTTCTGCTGAAGACTGGCCTCATTTACTCACGACCAAAATAGTCTTTGACACCCTTTAAAGGCGAAGGCTGGCAGGAAGAGAAAACGTTTTCCTGCTCACGTCTCGATTAAACAGGGTGACTTTGTTCCTCCTGATAGAGACCACCAGACACTTTAAATCAACATATTAGATTATTTGTCCTGAAAGCTGCAGAATTCGCCAGCAAACATAGACGACTGTTTTAGAGACAAATATTCAAAAGGCACGTGTTAAAACGCCAATAAGCACACAACATTCAAATGAAATGTCAAAAGAACTTGGGGCCTCACTTATAGCAGTGCGTGCACACAGATATGTGCGTTGAGCGTGCGTACGAATATTCCTACGCAAAGTATGGAATTTGTCAACTTGTACTTTTACTTTGGAATGTGCATAAATATACGCACACCTCTGACCATGCGTACACACATAATCTAGGGGTAGAACAGTGAAACTACAAATAGAAAGCTTTCAGGGATTTTGACCACCGGCACATTCCAGCGTGAAGTTGGAGATACGCAGCATTTCCAGCTATCAGTGAGCAGGATCAAGCCGGCAGTGTTGGATACCATAACTCCCCTGGCTCCAGCCTACATCCAGTTCCCTTCCAGCCATCACCGATGAGCCCAGATTAAATGGGGACTTCACGCCATCGCTGAATTCCCAAACATAAGTGGAGCCACAGACTGCACCCACATCACATTCAAAGCATCATCACTAAACACATTAAATTATGTAAATAGAAAAGGGTTTCATTCAATCAACGCACAAATAATTTGCGATGCACATTTGTCGCTATCAAATGTTGTTGCCCGGTGGTCTGGAGGAACGCACGACTCATTTACTGAGCAGAACAGTTCTGTGGGTCTCCAAGCAGGAGAAGAATTGAGAAAAAAATCTGTTTTCTTAAGTAAAGGTTACATTTGATTTTATTAGATAAAGTCTGAAACCTCAAATGGAAAAGAAATACTTCAAACCGGTTTTGTTCAGGGTTTTTC